CCAGGCCAGGGCAGATTCTCCCTGAGCAGGAGCCCTGCCTGCACTCCGCGGCGTGGGCCCTCAGGTCTCGTCTCACTGGTGGGGCAGGCAGGCCCCAGCCAGGCACAGAGCAGGAACCAAAGAGGAAGGGACAAGGGTGGAGGAGGAACCAAGCCAGATGCAGAGTCCCGGAGCATGAGCCAGGAGAGCGGAGTCTCATCTCACCTCTGCCATAGCCTTGCTGTGTGACCCAAGCTGCTCTCCTCCCCTCTCTGGGCCCTGCCCTGTACAAAGAGCTCGGTCCAAGCCCTTTCCAGCACTCACTGTCCAGCAGTGTGGGAGGCTGTTGGGACCACAGGGCCCGGTGACTCTGCCTCGTGCAGCCACGTGGAGAGGTCACTACCAGCAGAGCCCCGGGTGGCCTGCGCTTGGTTGCCAGAGCTTGCACCCCAGGCCCTCTGCACAGGGTGGCCATCCAGCCTGGACCCCATCGTCTTGCACCTCCTGACTTGAGAACTCTTGCTGTGCTTTAGTTCAGAGTTTCAAGAATGAGAGCGGGATTAAATTAAACAATTCCTGGAATCAAATGTTAGTTCCAGTACAACATACCAGAGCCTAGTGAAACACAGTGAAACCAGTCCTAAGAGGAAAGTTGATTGTGAATGTTCACATCAGAAAAACACAATGAGGTTAAAAAAAACAAACAAACCCTAATGATGCACTTCAATATAGTAGAAAAACAAGAACATCCAAACCCAAACCTAACACTAGGAAGGAAATCACAGTAGAAATTAACAAAATCGAGACTAACAAAATACAAAAAAATCAACAAATCAAAGAGCTTGTTCTTCGAAATAAACAAAACAGACAAACCCTTAGCCAATCTTATCTAAAAGAATGGAAAGAAAACACCCAAATCAATGTAATGAGAAATGAGAAAGGCAAAATTGAAAGGAATACCACTGAAATCCAGAAGATCAATAACTACCCTGAAAATGTGTACCACATCAAATTGGAGAGTCTTGAAAAAAATGGACAGATTCCTAGACACATAAGAATGTTCAAAACTTGACCAAGAAAATACAGTGGTGCCCAGTTCACAAATTTTCCGTGAGTCTGGATGCAAACGGAATTGGAGGAGAACCAAATCAAATTAGATGATTAGGCTCAGCGTTGACTTATGGGGGAAATTTGGTTTGGTTCTTGTCCAATTCAGTTTGTGAGCTCAACCATGGAGAGAGTTAAGTTTGTGAACTGAGGTACTACTGTCCAAGAACTCTGAACAAGTCAGGCATGGTGGCACACACCTGTAATCCCAGCATTTGGGAAGGTGAGGAAGGAGGACCACCATGAGTTTGAAGCGAGCCTGGGCTGCATAGTGATTCAAGGCCAGCCTGAACTACACAGCAAAGACCCTGTCTCAAAAAAAGAAAAATTCTGAACAATCCAATAACAGGTTATGAAATTAAGGCACTAATTAAAAACCTAACAACTTTAAGAAAAGCCCATGATCTGATGGGTTTACTGCTTATAAGCCTTATAATTTTATAAGGCTTTCAGGGATGACATAATGCCACATCTCTTCAAACTCTTTAAAAAACTGAAGGAAAAGAGTACTTCTAAACTCATTCCTAGAAGCTAGCATTACTCTGATTTCAAAACAAGGAAAAAACTTTACACAACTTAAAAAAAAAAAAACTGCAGGCCAATCTCTTTAATGAATATGGATGCAAAATTCCTCTGTAAGCTACAGGCAACATGATGCATAATTATCAAAATGATCATCACCCTGATCAAGAAGGTTTTGCCCCAGGGATGCAAGGATGGTTTGACCTATGCTAATAAATAACTAATAAACTACATAAAGAAAAGCCAGGACAAACATCACACTGGCAAGCACAAGGTCCTGAGTTTGATTCCTGGTACCAAAAAGAAAAAAAAAGAAAAAGAATAAAGACATAAGACATGTGAGAGACAAAGGTCAGAGTAAATAAATAGCAATGGAATAATATTTCCAGTTCAAAGGCAGAGATTGGAGAATAGTAATAAAACATGATCCGACTCTATACTGTCGCCAAGGCCACCCAGTTTAGAGCCTAAAACATGAATAGGTTGAAAGTGAAAGGGGGGAAAAGATACTCTATATGGCTAGTAACCAGAGACAGATGGTAAGATTACACTATCAGCCAAAAATTGTTATGAGACAAAGTAGGACATCATATTTAAACAGGGGCTGTCTGCCAGGCATCGTGATACATACCTATAATCCCAGCCACTGAGGCAGTGAAGGCAGGAGGATCCTAAATTGTAATAATAAAATACAGCACTTACCTAGCAGCCCAAATGCTCTGACTTCAATCCCAAGTACCACAGACAGAATGTGTGTGTGTGTGTGTGTGTGTGTGTTGAACTCAGGAAGAGAAATAACAATCATAATCAAATCTGCATCCAACCACAGAGCTTCCAATTATATGAAGAAAAACAATATTGAAGAACACATAATTAAACAATTACAGTAGGAGAATTCTATACTGAAAATTCAATAATGAATATTATAACCAGCAAGCGGAGCAATAAGAAAATAAAGAACTGGAATAAAACTCTAAAGCAATTAGATCTCAGAGATAGCTAATGCACACCATGCAGGAGCCAGAAGATATAGATTCTTCTCAATTTTACATGAAACATTCTCTAAGATAGACACATAGGTTAGGCCAAGCTCAGGATATTGTGAAAGCCTGAATCATACAAAGTAACTTCTCTGACCACAGGGACTGAAAATAGAGGTTACTAACACAACAAAGAACAGAAAATTAAATATGTTGAACCAAACAACATATCTTTAAAGAACCAGTGGGCTGCAGGGCTGCTAGGCCTTGGAGCTCCTGGGCTCCTAAGATGCAGGTACCCAGAAATAGCAGTGTCATTTTTTTCCAGTAGCAATTTTATTTATCCCCTAATGTTTGTCGTGGGAAAACTGGAAATCAAATGCCATTGTTATATAAGGTTTATACTTAAAAAAAAAAAAGAAAAGTAAGGGGCTGGGGATACAGCTCAGCAGCACAGCGCCTGCCTGGCAAGTGCAAGGTCGTGAGTTCGAATTCTGGTACTGGAAAAAAACCAAAAAGAAAACCAAAAAAAAAAAAAAAAAAGTAACATAGGGCTGGGGATATAGTTCAGTGGCACAGTGCCTGCCTGGCAAGTGTGAGGTCCTCAGTTTGATTCCCAGTGCCAAAAAAAAAGTAACATAATGTTCAAATTGGCTTTCAAAAATTGTTACTGCATAGCTGTACTGTGCAGTAATAATCACAAAGTTGTAATTTAGAACTCTGTCATGTAGTCCCAGAATGTTCTTACAAAGCTAGAATGAAATGTGACCAGACAAGGACTTCAATTACACTGCTTAGCAAACTTAGAATTTCAGTGGAGTCTTTTTCCACTTGATTTTAAAGCAAAAGTCAATACATCACCTCTTTTTCAAGACTCATAAAGATGATTCAGGTATGTACGGTACTTTTAAAACCTCTACCATGATAGCAGGGGTGTTTCCACCTTGAGTCCTCTTGGGCTTCTTCTCTAGATTGGTACTAAGTTCTAAACAAGAAACGCGAACCGATGGAACCTTTTCTGTATTTTTCCACAATGGGCTCGAGGTGGTGTCCCACAACGCTGCTTCAAAGCGCACTGAGTTCTGCAAGCGAGTTCACACGGGACTGTGCTTGCTTTAGAACCTATGCTAGCAAATTCAGGCTGAATGGTAGTAGTGTGAATTCTGTGATTATGAACAACGTCCATTAGATCTCAGAGATAGCTAATGCACACCATGCAGGAGCCAGAAGATATGGATTTTTCTCAATTTTACATGAGATATTTTCTAAGATAGACACATATTAGGCCAGGCTCACGATACTGTGAAAGCCTGAAGTCATACAAAGTAACTAGTGGTTTTAGCCACCTGCATGTAGACTGTTGTGTCTTTACATTTTATGTGAGCAGTCGCAGTGAGTCTGCTTCCAACAAGAGGCTGAACATGCAATTCATGAGCTTCCTCAACTCCTTCAACATCTCGAAGTTCTTTTATCAAATTTCTGATATCAGTTTGTTTAGGGACAGTTTGTAGAAGAATAAGCGTAGATGCCTTAAGCAATGGGTAAGGTATGGAAAAAAGTGTACAAACCATGACCACACAAAGACTTGGGTCTAAATACAGCATCGGGCAAGGCCCAGCCTCAGCAACTGGTGCGTGCATACTGTTAATCAGTTCTACAAATTCTTGCAGAGGTCAGAGAAACGGGTTCACACAGAAATCCCCTTCGGGACAGCCTTTCCAATAAAAGTGAGAGAGAGTGGCATTTCTTGTGACAATCACAGACCCCACGGCGTCTCCCAGCACGTGCAGAAACACGCCTCGCGTGTGAGCTGCGGGGCCGCGTCACCTTCCCTCGGGTCCAGGCGCTCAGGCCCGCGGCTCACCTGCACCTCTACTGCGTCCTCACTCCTGGAGTTTCCTGGCTTGGCCGCGTCCAGCTTCAGCCCGTTGAAGTTGCTGCTGTTGGCCACCAGGGTGTTGGTCTCCTTGTGCTCCTGCTCCGGGCGCAGCTCGCCGCGGGCCGCGCGGGCTTGGCTTTCCCCGGGCGAGCACGCGCGCCTGCCCCGACTCCCGCCCCGAGGCGTGGCCGTGGCCCCCGTGCGCGTGGCCGCGACCGTTGGTGCCGCGGCCCAGGCCGTTGCGGCGGTGGAACCGGCACAGCCCCGGAAGGTCCATCAGCAGCTCGGCCACACCGACGCCGACGCCGACGCCGAGCACCACGAGTGGCCGCTGCATCTCTCGCGGCTCCACGAAGCACTCGAGGGCCTCAGCAGGACGGCGAAGCACAGGCGGGGCCGGGAGACGGCGGCCACCAGGGCGCGGATCCTGGTCCTCGGCGGCGCGGATCCAGCCTTTCGCGTTCTTCTGCCGGGCGTGGGTCTGCCGGGCGCAGCGCTCGGCCGCCAGCGCCACCACGACGACGACGACGACGACGACGACGAGCGCCAGCGCGTCCGACAGCAGAAGCAGGAGTCGGAGAGCGACGCGGTCACCTCCACCTCCCGCACCCCGAGCGTGAAGGTCAGCGGCAGCAGTAGCAGCCGCCGCCCGCGG